GAGTCGCGGGGCGCCCGCCAGCACCGTCGCTTGCTCGCCGCGGGCCTGCACGGGCGCGAGGGTCGCTGAGGGGGTCTGGCCGGGGCGCACACATCCTGGGGGCGGCACGGCCACATCCCTTCTCCTTTCGTTTCAGGGAAGACCTGGGAAAAGGCCCTGCTCAGAAGGTCAGTGGCGAGCGACCGCCTGCAGCGTCTGCTCCAGCCCAAGCTACTCAAGCAAGTCTGAACGCGGGGGATGGGAAGCCGCCTGCCCCGGGGCGGGGCCGGTCCAGGCTGGCGGCTCATGATGGCCAGAGGCCCCGTTAGCCGTGCCCCTTGCTCTGCTGGGGTCGCTCTGCTGCAGCGGGAGTGGCACTGCTCCTGAACTGTCTCCCATGTAGGGCAGCCGGACGTCTAGGGTGGCACGTGAGGGTGGGGCAGGCCTCGTGGCCATGTAAGTCATGTGACCCGGGTGCTCTCTCTGGCCTGGGCCTCAGTTTCTATCCCTGGAAGTGAGGACCATTTGCAAGACACGCATCCACGTGTGCTGATAGCATGGTGTCTCGTGACCACGTCACAGCACCTAGGGTCGGGCCAGGGGTCCCAGGGGCTGCCCACTGCCTCGCGGCTTGACGTGTGGGTCAGGATCTGTTGTGACAGTTGGGTCACTCCTCGGGCTGTAGGAGAGCTGGGTTTTCTGCTCGGCCTGTTCTGGAAATGGTTATTTCCTGTAGTGGTAACTGCAGCTCCGGCCTCGGTGCTGGGTGTGAGGGTCAGGGTGTCTGGGGGGCCTCGCTGTGTGCGGGGCGCAGGGCTGGGAGCTGGGGCACAAGCTCTGGGACGTGGGGCGCCGGTAGTGTTGTGTCACCCACATCAGCATGGCCACATTGGCCGCCAGCGTGACCGTCGTGACACCCAGAGGGAGGGCCGCTGCTTTCTTTGCGGGCGCGAGGGCCGGGCCAGCTTACAGAGAGCGCGCGGCTCGTCTGCGGCAGCAGGGTTCGCCTTCGGACCCCGGCCGAGTCTGTGCTGCTCGGCGCCGTGCTGCGTGGTGTGGGACGGGGTGACCAGCTTCGCGGTGTGTCCCGGGTCTGTGGAAAGGCCGAGCCAGCCCCGCAGACGCCCCCGTGCTGCCCCCGCGGGGCTCTGCGGCACCGTTGGCAACCTTGGTGCTTCTTCCCGCTCCTCAGGCTCGAGTATTTGCAGCAGAAACAGAGCAGCAGCGCGAGCGAGGCGGAGAGGCAGATCCTGGACAAGCAGGCCAGGGAGGCCGAGAAGGAGGTGCGGGACATCAAGTGAGTGGGGTCCTGCTGGCGAGGGTGTCACGCAGGGTGAGCCGAGGGCAGCCCGGCGTGACCCTGGGCCCTGGGCCCTTCCTCCAGTCAGCTGCCCGAGGAGGCCCTGCTGGGGAACAGGCTGGACGACCACGACTGGGAGAAGATCTCCAATGTCAATGTGAGTGGGGGTGGCTCTGTCCTGGAAGCTGGGGCGGGGGTCAGCACCGGGCAGCGAGGCCGAGACCCGCGTGGCCCCCAGACCTGCCGTGACCCTTTCCGGTCGAGTGCGTGCCCACAGCGTGGGGTGGTTTTCGGGGCTCTCCCTGCTGGCACGTCTCGGCACCCTAGACGGAGCCCCCAAGCCCCGCAGACAGGCCCCTCTGCTTGCAGTTCGAGGGCAGCCGCGGCGCACAGGAGATCCGCAGCTTCTGGCAGAACTTCGAGCACCCAGGCATCAACAAGCAGGAGTGGAGTGCGCGGGAGGTGGGCCAGCTGCAGGCCATCGCGGCCGCGCACGGCCACCTGCACTGGCAGAGGATCGCCGACGAGCTAGGGGTGAGGGCTGGAGGGCCCGGGCGGGGTCGGGGGTCTTCGGGCTGCACGTCGCGCCACGGCCAGGGCTGTCCCCCGGAGCCGTCAGAGGTTTCCCTCCTGACGCTTTCGAGGGTGTGGCCCTGGGGGAGGGTGCCCCCTCCACGCGTCCCCAGGCGGAGTTCGGAGGCTCCTCAGACCCTGCTGCTTCTCTGAGAGCTCACATGCCCTCCACCCACATCCCAGACCAGCCTTTGAGCTCCGTCCAAATGCCTTCCCTCCCCGAGTTCCCGCTTGTCTTTCTCTAGTTATTTTGGTGGTTTGAGAAGAACCGTTTCCTGGTTTCTTTTGGGTTCTGTTATCTTTCTCATCTCCTAAGGCAAGAACCGAGTTCTCTCACCTCTGTCTTTAGCGATGGAGGCATTTAAGGCTTGCTTTTCTGAGAACAGCTTGGTATGAAGTGTCTCCTTTGTATCGGTTTTGGAGTGGCTGTGATTTCAGTTTTCATGCCCTCTTTGGATCTTAGCTTACGTAGGAATGTGTTTTTTCATCTTTAAATACTGAGGTTTGTTGGAATCCCTTTTTTTCTTTAGTTTGAACTTTGTGACCTGAGAATGCAGTCGGTAAACATCTACATTTTTAAAATTTCTCACTTTTGTGGCCAAGCACGTGGTTGCAGCAGACCAAAGGAAACTCACCAAAGCTACTCAGAAGCAAAAGCGTGCTCTCTGCCCTGAGAGTCTGGGTTTCCGTATAAGCCTATTAAATGGAGTTTATTATATAATTGAATTTTGTTCTCTGAAAGAGTTGTATTGATGGAACTTGGATGCAGCCTGACATGACTGTTAAAACGTCGTTTTCTCGTGTCTCTCACAGCTTTGCTGTGTACGTTTAGCTGCTGTGCAATTTGGTGCACTAGCTTTTATTTGCTTTGGTGAATGAGGCTTTAGAACAATCATTCTGCGTGCTGAGTCCTAACCACTGGACTGCCAGAGAATTCCCTTTATGTCTTTAGTTCCTTAGTGTTTTTCTTTTTTAAGACTTCTTTTGTGTACCTTGGCCGCACCGTGCGGCTTGCGGGATCTTAGTTCCCCGACCAGGGATTGAACCCATGCCCCCTGCAGTGGAAGCGCGGAGCCCTAACTGCTGGACCGCCAGGGAATCCCCAGACCGTTTTTTAGAGCTGCTTAAGGTTCACAGCAAAATGGGGAGGACGGTACAGGGGTCTGTCGTGCAGCTTTGCCTCCGCACGTGCACAGCCTCCCCTGTCATGAACGTCACTCACCAGGTGGCACGTTTTTTTACCAAGGACAGATCTACGTTGACGTGTCGTGATCCCCCATGGTTTACGTTGGGGTTTGCACATCCTGTGGGTTTCAACGGAAGTACAATGACACGTACCCACCATTATCGTCTAGTACAGGATGGTTTCACTGCCCTACGAGTCCTCCGTGCCTCACCTATGCACCCTTCCTCCCCCACCCCCTGGCAACCACCATTCAGTTTACCGTTTCAATAGTTTTGCCTTTTCCAGAATGTCATGTGTTTGTAATCATGCAACATGTGGCCTTTTCAGATTGGCTTCTCTTACTTACGGACATGCATTTAAGATTCCTCTGTGTCTTTTCATGGCTTGATGGCTCATTTCTTGTTCACGCTGAATAATATTCCATTGTCTGGATGGACCAGAGTTTATTTTTCATTCGCCTGCTGAAGGGCATCTTGGGTGCTTCCAGGACTTGTCAGTTATGAATAAAACTGCTGTAAACATCCATGTGCAGGTTTTTGGGTGGACAGAAGTTTTCACCTCCTTTGGGTAAATACCAAGGAGCATGATTGCCGGATCATTATGTTTAGCTTTGTAAGCAACCGCCACGCTGTCTTCCAACGTGGCTGCACCACCTCTGTCCCCACTAGCCACGGACGAGGGTTCCTGCAGCTCCACACCCCCACCAGCATCTGGTGTTGTCAGGGGTCCACATCTTGCCCATTCTGATAGGGACGTAGTGGGGCCTCACCTTAGTTTTCATTTCCCTGGTGACTTAACGACGTGGTGCTTCTCCTCACATGCTTACTCGCCACCCGTGTATCATCTTTGGTGACGTGTCTGTTGGTCCATTTTTCATTCAGGTAGTTCATTTTCTGATTGTTGAGTTTTAAGAGTGCTTTGTGTGTTTTGGATATCAGTCCTTGTCAGATGTGTCTTTTGCAAACATTTTCTCCCAGTCTGTGGCTCGTCTTCTAATTCTCTTGACATCGTCTTTCATCGAGCAGAAGTTTATAACTTTAATGACATCCAGCTTACGAGTTCTTTCTTCAGTGGGTCGTGCTTTTCGTGTCGCGTCTCCAAAGGCCTCACCACCTGCACACCTCAACTAAACGGACTGCAGGAGGCTGCCCACCCTGTGCTCTGTAAACAGAGAGCTTGCTCTGGGAAAGAAGACAGTTCACACCGCCTAAATTGGCTCTTGGAAAACCCCTTCCCCATAGGAGACGAGTGAGGGGGCAGATTTGGGCAAAAGTGTTCGCGGTGGGGACTGGGGGCTGCTCGGGTGGAAGCCGGGGGCCCGTCGCCTTGGCGCTGTCCTTGCACGGGTGTCCCGGACGCAGATGCCACACCAGGGACTGTCCAGAACCCCAACCCCCAGCCCCCTTCACGGGCGACGCTCGGCCGCCCCTGATAGGGGGTTCGGAGAGACCGCCTCAGGGCTCCAGGGTCCGCGCCATGGTGCCGGCACATGCCTTGCAGGATACCTTCGTGCGTAGACTTGGCTGATCTGAGGCCTCTGTTGGGAATTTGAGTTCACGGTATGGTTTTGGTGTCACATAAATGGGGAGCTCTGACGGCTTGTGGACGCACTTGCTTTCATAAGCCAGCATTGGGGACCCTCTTTAGTGGGCCCGAGCCTTCTGTCGGGGGCACTCTCCACTGTCCCCCAGGGGCCTGGCAGGAGTGCAGCCTTGGCTCGCAGTTGGGCGTCCCCCGTGTGTGGCGAGCGCCAGTAACACCCCCCACCCCGCGCTGTGCTTTGGCCCCGGCAGACCTGCCGCAGCGCCTTCCAGTGCCTGCAGATGTACCAGCAGCACAGCCCGGCCCTGAAGCGCAGGGAGTGGACGGAGGAGGAGGACCGCGTGCTCACCCGGCTGGTGCAGGAGATGCGCGTCGGCAGCCACATCCCCTACCGGAGGAGTGAGTCCCGCGCCCGGGAGGGCGGAGGCCCCGGCCGTGCCCTAGTCACCGCTGCGCGAGCTGGCGGGACAAACTGGGGGTTATGTCGTCCCGGGCGGCCGGGAAGCGTGGCGCCCACAGAGCCCCTCTGTCCCCAGTCGTCTACTACATGGAGGGGAGGGACTCCATGCAGCTCATCTACCGCTGGACCAAGAGCCTGGACCCCAGCCTGAAGAAGGGTCTCTGGGCCCCAGAGGAAGACGCGGTATGCTTGCAGGACCCAGGGGAGCTGGAGCCTGGAGTTTAAAACTGAACTGGGCCTGGGGAGGTCGTGACTGTGGCAGCAGAGGGACCGTTTGTGTGCTCCTCTCTGCAGAAGTTGCTTCGGGCAGTTGCCAAGTACGGGGAGCAGGGTTGGTTTAAAATCCGGGAAGAGGTGCCAGGTAGGAGCGATGCCCAGTGCCGAGATCGGTGAGTCGGACAGCGCTGGGCAAGGGAAGGCCTTGCTGGGGTTGCTTCCGTGTGGGCCGCGGGCCGGGCTGGGAGACTGGCCCGGGGTCATCTGCTGGCGGAGGAGGAGGCCGTGGCCTTGGGGGCTAGGCGTACCAGGGCTCACCTGCTCAGGAAGCAGGGCGGCTTCTTTTTGAGACGAGGTTTGTGTACAGGCTCAACTGGACATCTTTTGAGATCCCCTGGTGGGCAGTTTCCCTGAGCCCCATGATCTAAATTCCTCTCCCAGATCTCTGGTGGCAGGCAGCTTCAGCTTCGTCCTTTTCTTGGCTTGCTTTTTTTTTTTTTTTTTTCTTTTTAACAGCTTTATTCTGTAATTCACATATAATCCGTTCATTTAAAGTGTACAGTTCTGTGGGTTTCGTTGTTCTAGAACGTTTTGGTCACCCCACAAAGAAAGGCTGTTCCCTACCAAAAAAACATCAGTTCAAGAGTGGGCAAAGGGGACTTCCCTGGTGGCTCAGTGGTTAAGAATCCGCCTGCCAATGCAGGGGACACAGGTTCGAGCCCTGGTCTGGGAAGATCCCACATGCCACAGAGCGACTAAGCCCGTGCGCCACAACTACTGAGCCTGCGCTCTGTAGCCCGCGAGCCACAACTGCTGAAGCCCATGCGCCTAGAGTCCGTGCTCCACAGCAAGAGAAGCCACCGCAGTGAGAAGCCCACACACCGCAACAAAGAGTAGCCCCCGCTCACCGCAACTAGAGAAAGCCCGCGTGCAGCAACGAAGACCCAACGCAGCCAATAAATAAATAAATAAATTTATTTATTTTTTAAAAAGTGGGCAAAGGACTTGAATATATGTTTCTCGAAAGAAGACTTGCAAATGGCCATTAAGCACATGAAAAAATGCCAACACGATTAGTCATTATAGAAATACAAGCCAAAACCACAGCAGGATACCACCTCACACCCCTAAGGATGGTTAATGTTTATAAATAATAGGAAACAACAAGTGTTGGAGAGGATGTGGAAAAATTAGAACCCTGTGCACTGTTGGTGGGATCATGAAACGTGTAAAATGGTGCAGCCACTTTGGAAAACAGTATGGAGATTCCTCAGAAAGACCGAGAATTACCGCGTTATCTAGCAATTCCACCCAGTACCCAAAAGAATTGAAATCAGGGGCTCAAACAGAAATTTGTACGCCCATGTTCGTAGCAGCACTATTCACAGCAACCAACAGGTGGAAACAACCCAAGTGTCCGTCAGGAGATGAGCAGATAAACAAAATGCACTTCTAATGTATGGACACTAGAGTGTTATTCAGCCTTAGGAATGAGTGATATTCTGATAGGTGTTACATCGTGGGTGAACCTTGGAAACGTGAACGTTTGTGTACAAGCGTTTGTGTGGATGTACATGCTCATTTCTCTGAGCTATACCTACGAGTGGAATTGTTGGGTCACATGGTGATTCCGCTTCACTTTTGAGGAATGACTCTTCCCGAGGGTGGCTGTACCCTTTTACATCCCCACCAGCAGCGTAGGGGGGTCCCAGCCTTCTACACCGTCACTGACACTACCTGTGATTTGAGCCATCCGAGTGGCAGTGGAGTGGCATCCTTGTGATTCGGGTTCGCGTTTCCTGAAGACTGATGATGTTGAGCAGCGTTCCTGCGTTTGGCCATTTGTGTATCTTCTCCGAAGAAACAGCTATTTCTGTCCTTTGCCCATTTTAAAAATTGAGTTATAAGGGTTCTTTATATATTCCAGATACAAGTCTCTTAGCAGACCCGTGATTTGCAAATATCCTGTCCCAGTCTATGGGTTGTCTTTTCACTTTCTTGATGGTGACCTTTGAAGCACAAAAGTTTCCTATCTTTTGCTGAAGTCCAGTTTGCCTGGATTTTTCTTCTGTTGCCTGTGCCCTGGGTTGTCATAGCTTAGAAACCACTGCAGATGCCAGGGCGGCAGCAGGAGGCCATCTTGGCTTCTAAAACGTCCCTTTGTTTTTATGTTGCTTTCAGGTATCTCAAAAGGTTACATTTTGGCTTGAAAAAGGGACGATGGAATTCCAAAGAAGAGGAAAAGTTAGTTGAATTAATAGAAAAATATGGTGTCGGTAAGTTCTTATTTTTTGTTGTTTTTTTTAGTTTCACACATGGTACATAGTGATTTTAACATTTGCACGTGTTAGGGAGTGATCGCAGTGAGTCTAGTAATCATCTGTCCCCATACAAAGTTATTATTAACGTCATTGACTATGTTTTTTCTACCGTGTAGAGCGTCCCCTGGCTTATTTATTTGGTAGCTGGAGATTTGTGCTTCCTAATCCCCTTCACCTGTTTGGCCTCACCCCTCCCCTCTGGCAACCAGCCATTTGTTCTCTGCGTCTGCGGGCCTGGTGTCTGTCTGTTTTGTGTGTTAGACCCCGTGCACAAGTGCAGTCACACTTCCTCTGACTCATTCCACTTGACCTAACACCCTCTAGGTCCATCCGTGTTGTTGCCAATAGCAAGATTTCTGTTTTTTCCTTTCGTGGCTGAGCAGCGTTCCATTGTACGTATAGACACTACATTTTCATTATTGTTGTCTGTCCATTCATCTATCGACAGACACTTAGGTTGCTTCCGTATATTGGCTGTTGTAAATAGTGCTGCTGTGAACGTGTGGGTGTTAGCTCTTCTCTAAATGTTTTGGAGAATTCACCTGTGGAGCCATCTGGTCCTGGACTTTTGTTTGTTGAGAGTTTTGTTTTATTTTTTGTTTTTTGTTTTTTTACTGATTCACTTTTATTATTTTACTGATTCACTTTTATTACTGGTAATCAGTCTATTCATATTGTCTATTTTTTCCTGACTCATTCTTAGGTGAGTGTGCTTTTCTAGGCATTTATCCATTTTTTCTAGATTGTCTAGTTTTTTGGTGTATAGTTTGTTGTAATAATCTTACATGATCCTTTATATTTCTGTGGTGTTGCTTGTAACGTCTCCTTTCCAGTTCTGACTTTATGGATTTGGGCCCCCTCTTTTTCTTGATGAGTCTGGCTAAAGGTTTATCAATTTTGTTTATCTTTTCAAAGAACCAGCACTTAACTTTCATTGATTGTTTTCTGTTATTTTTCTAATCTCGGTTTCATTTATTTCCACTCTAATCTTTATTATTTTCTTCCTTCTACTAACTTTGAGCTTTGTTCTTCATTTTCTGGTCCCTCTAGGTGTAAAGTTAGATTTTTTACGTGAGGTTTTTCTTGTTTCCTGACATAGGCTTGTATTGGTATAAACTTCCCTCGTAGGACTGCTTTTGCTGCATCCCGTAGATTATGGGTCTTTGTGTTTCTATTTTCATTTGTCTCCAGGTATTTATTTCCTCTTTGATTCCTTCAGTGACCCATTGGTTGTTTAGTGGCAGATTGTTTAGCTCCCACATGTTTGTGTTTTTGAAGTTTTCTTCTTGTAGTTGATTTCTTTCTTTCTTTTTTTTTTTTTTTGTAGTATTTATTTATTTATCTTGGCTGTGCCGGGTCTTAGTTGCGGCACGCAGGATCTTTTTAGTTGTGACATGCAGGATCTTTTTTAGTTGCGGCATGCGGAATCTTTAGTTGCAGCACGCAAACGCTTAAGTCACGACGTGTATGTGGGATCTAGTTCCCTGACCAGGGATGGAACCCCAGCCCCCTGCGTTGGGAGCATGGAGTCTTAGCCACTGGACCACTAGGGAAGTCCCTCTTGTAGCTGATTTCTAGTCGCATACTGTTGTGGTCAGCAAAGATGCTCGATACGATTTTACTCTTAAATTTATTGAGACTTGTTTGTGGCCTAGAATGTGGTCTATGCTGGAGAATGTTCCATGTGCACTTGAAAAGAATGTGTATCCTGTTTGGGGGTGACATGTTCTGTATATATCTATTAATTCCGTCTGGTCTCACGTGTCATTTAAGGCCAGTGCTTCCTTACTGATTTTTTTTTTCTGTCCATTGATGTGAGTGGGATGTCAAAAGTCCCCTACTACTATTACGTTACTGTCAATTTCATTTTGCTTAATTCTCTCTATTTCTGTGTGTTAGGTCAGTTAGGTTTCCCGATCTTGGAGAAGTGGCCTTATGTAGGAGACATCCTATGGGCCCAGCAGTATAGTCTTCTCTGGTCACCAGAGCTCTGTGTTTTAGGGGTGCCCCTATATGGGCTTTGTGGGCCCTTCTGTTGTGTCAGGGTCAACTACTGTGGTGCTGCTCGGCGGGGCCGGCCCTGGTGCAACGGCTGTGGGCCTGCTGCAGGGCAGGGTAGGCTTCCTGCGTGGTTGGCTGCACGTCCAGGGTCAGGGAGCAGTGCATGGAGCAGGGCTTCTGGCGGGTGGGGCCATGTCCCCAGAGCTGATAGGCTAGAGGGAGGATTCCAGAATGGCGCCCACCAGCACTGGTGTTACTGCAGTGGACCTGGCTCCCCAAAATGGCTGCCACCAGCATCTCCATCCCCAGGGGGAGCTCCATTTACCTTCTGCCTCTCTGGGAGGCTCTCCACCATCGGCAAGCGTATCTGACCCAGGCTCCTTGCAAACCGCTGTCTCACGTAAGATTCTGAGTGCACCCTTTAAGAGCGGAGTCTCTTGGGCTTCCCTGGTGGCGCAGTGGTTGAGAGTCTGCCTGCCGATGCAGGGGACACGGGTTTGTGCCCCGGTCCGGGAAGATCCCACATATCGCAGAGCGGCTGGGCCCGTGAGCCATGGCTGCTGAGCCTGCGCGTCCGGAGCCTGTGCTCCGCAACAAGAGAGGCCACAACAGTGAGAGGCCCCTGTACCGCAAAAAAAAAAAAAAAAAAAAAAAAAAAAAAAAAAAAAAAAAAAAAAAAAAAGAGCTGAGTCTCTGTGTCCCACAGCCCTCTGGCTCTCCCAAGTGTATACCCCGCTGGCTTTCAAACCCAAATATTCTAGGAGCTCTTCTTCCTGGTGCAGGACCCCTCCCCCCAGGATTGGGAGCCCAGTGTGGGGCTCAGACCCTTCGCTCCTGGAGAAAGACTTCTATGATGGTAATGGTCCTCCGTTTGTGGGCTGCTGACCCGGAGGTGTGCATCCTGACTGCCCTGCGTCTCTACCCCTCTTCCCCGTCTCATTTTGGTTTCTTCTTTGTGCCTTCAATTGTGGAAAATATCTCGTTAGCCTTGAGGCCATTCTCATGTGTGCTAACTCTGTGAGTAGTTGTACTTCTGGTGTGTCCACAGGAGGTCAGCTCAGGGTCTCCCTACTCTGTGGTCTTGGCATCTCTGGTGAGTTCTTAATGCATTTGCTGTCCGAGGGCTTCTCACAGCTTTGAGTTCATGGTGGAGCTTTGCAGATACCACTGGAGGCCTGTGGTTTGCTTTCATCCCAGGCTGCCTCCCTGGTCATCAGCTTTTCTGCCCCGTTTTTTTTTTTATATTTTGGCCACACCACGCGGCTTGTGGGTTATTAGTTTCCCGACCAAAGACCGCACCTCGGTGTGAGAGCACAGAGTCCTAACCACTGGACCAGCAGGGAATTCCCGTTCTGCCCCATTTTTCATCATCTCAGCAGGTGGTGGTGGTTTTTTCATTTTACAGACTAATTCATGTTCATTATAGGAAATTTAGAAGCAGAGATGTATGAAAAGAAGGAAAGGAATGTAACTGTCCTGTCTCCAGAGGTGACCGCTGCCTGCTGGCGTGCACTTGCCGGGCACTTCCCTATGCAGGTGGCTTTCCTAGGAAGAGCCAGCTTATTTAAGTTGAGTCATTCCACTTTTAATTGAGCAGCTATTTTTTACTTTATGATGTGTCGTTATGTTATCTGTTACTAATATTTCTCTATATCTGTACACGTCCTGCGTCCTGGTGTTATTTTCAGTAATCGTGATATATTTCCTTGGATAATAGTACATAGGTTATCGTATCAGTTTTCTGTTAATGGACGTTTAAGTTGCTTCTCATTTTTTGTTACAGGGGTGGAACGAGCTGAGGGTTCAGTGGCTCAATCTTTGCTTATATTTAACATTTCCTTAGAGGAAATCCTTAGATGTAACATTGCCAGGTTTGAGGGTTCTGTCCCATGCAGTCAGACTGCCCCATAGAAGCAATGCCCCACCAGCACTGTCTGGCAGAAAACACCAAATAAGTTGAAACGTCTGGTTTAGAAGCCTGGAATAGCAGATATTCAAGGGCCGTTGAATAAACGTGGGGGACTTTTTTCTCATAGTTGTGCGTTTGCTAGAACTCGCCTCGGGCTGGCTATCCGTTGAGAGTCAGATACCCATCTTCTCACGGAGCTGCTCGGGTGTGGGAGCAGCACGAGGGTTCCGACGGAGCGCGGCGCGAGTCCGCGGGGGCCACCAGCGCGCGGCGGAGAGGAGCCCTCTTCTCCAAGCTGCTAAACTTGTCGAAACCTGTTCGTAAGAAGTAACTTCCATGTTGTTTTGCTGTTGTAGGTCACTGGGCAAAAATAGCCTCTGAACTACCCCATCGGACGGGCTCCCAGTGCCTAAGCAAGTGGAAAATCATGCTCAGGGTGAGGCTTTACTAAAAGTCAGCCGAAGGCCCCGGCCCCTGGGGGCTAGCGTCACCGCAGGCAGGATGAGGGGAGGGTGGCTGGCAGGCGAGAATGGGGGCGTCTGGTTTCCGGCCGTGGCGTCTCTCCTTCCAGGCGGCCGAGTGCAGAGGGAGCTCGGCCTCCGTCCTCAGAGCAGCGGGAGGGTGCTTCCACCCAGTACACCCGGCCCCCTCGGCCCCCTGGAGGCGCGCCTACTCGAGGCCTCTCCCCAGAGGCCTGGCCTGCCTGCCCGCTGTCCCCCATCGTTGAGCCCCGGGGGGCTGGGACCTCCAAGTAGCCCTCCCCCTACAGAAGCAGCAGCGGCGCAGGCGGGGGCGGCGGCCCCCTCGCAAGGTGCAGTGGAGCTCCAGCAGCGGGGACAGCAGCACCGCCAGCAGTGGGGACAGCGGGGACTCAGAGCCAGAGGCCGCGCTGGGGGCCCTGACGGGTGGCCAGGCGCTGCTGCCAGCACAGCATGTGGTGCCTGACGTGGACCTGTGGGTTCCTGCCCGGCAGAGCGCCAGGGAGCTATGGGGAGGGGGGCCCAGGAGCTGGCCAGGACCCTGTGGTGCCTGCCCCCGCCCTCCCGATGGCTCCAACACGGCCCAGGGTGGCCGCTGGGAAGCTTGCACCACGGCCTCAGCCCCAGCAGAGCTGGCAGGCCAGGCGCGGGCCGCCTTCGGGACCCAGAGCACCAGCCGGAGAGGCGTCAGATGCCCGTGCTCGACAGATGCTTGCCCCTCGAGCTCCACGGGGCCTGCGCGCCAGGTAGGCCATGGGCGGGTGGGAGCTCTCCCGCTTGGGGTCAGCGAGGCTGCGCTCAGGGATGGGGGTGGCCTGGGCTCACGCAGCTGTGCCCTGCACATTGCAGTGTGCGCTCCTGATCCGTCCGCTCGTTCCGGAGAGCTGCCCAGGAAGAAGCTTCCTGTGGCCGGCCCCCCGTTGCCCCCACCTTGTTGCTTGCCCCTTTTTTTTTTTTTTTTTTTTTTGGTCACACTGCACAGCTGTGGGATCTTAGTTCCCCAACCAAGGATTGAACCCGGGCCCCAGCAGTGAAAGCGCTGAGTCCTAACCACTGGACTGCCCGGGAATCCCCCAGCTTGTTTGCTTTCAAAGCTCCGTGGGAGAGCTGCAGGGACAGGGTGGGTGCTGCCCCGAGCTGTGGGGCGGGAGGTGGGCTCAGCGAGGAGGAGCTGTTCCTTCGGTCACCTGCGTCCAAGGAGGCCCCTGTGGAGGGTCCCACTGTCCGCCTGCTCCGGTCTGACTCAGCTGGTCACACGTGGGCGTGTCCGTGGATGTGTCGAGGCCCTGGGCCCAGACACAGCTCTGGCCACGTTTGGGTGGCGTCCACGTTGGGGTGGCTGTTTTGTGCTGGGCGCGGTTGGAAGCCCACTCTCTGACACCAGGGACAGTGGACGCCACGGCCCCCGTGCCACGTGGGATCGTCTCTCCTTGAGTCTGTAACTGCAGGGCCTTAAGCCCCAGGGTTTGTCTCAGGCACGTCGTGTCATCAGCTCAGGGAGCTGCCCGGAGGAACGGGGACTCTTTTAGTCCTGGGTGTGGCCGAGCTGGGCAGCTTCTTGGAGCCAGGCCTTAGGGACCCCCTGCCCTCCTCTGAGGTCACCACACCCCATAGAGTGTTTCCCAGCGGCCCAGGGTGCAGGTGCAGGACGCTTTGGGGTCTGGGCAGGGAGCCGTGCGTGCGCCCAAAAGCAGCAGCCTCCTGTGGTCTGCCAGGGTGGGGACGTCCACTCGGGGCCCCTGGAGACAGCGCTGCAGGCGCTCAGACCGACGTGGCCACTTGGTGCCAGACGCAGCGCCCCAGGCCGCCAAGACCATCCCGATGCCCACCACCCGTCTCGTCTCCCATCCGCACCCCGCTCCGGCACCCAGCAGGAGTGGAGGATGGTGAGGGTAGGCACGTGGCCGCCCCGCGGCGGAGCCTGGCCAGGAGCCCCAGGGGGCCTTTCTCTCCCCACAGGAGTTGAGGCAGCCGCACCTGCGCAGTGCCGCCCCGGGGCCCACCCCTGGTGGCGGTGGTGGCAGTGGCGGGGCCAGGCCCTGCGTGCAGCCGCTGTGGCACAGGACCGGGCAGCGGCGCCAGGGACACGCCCTGCAGAGGAGGCTCCTTGAGCACCAGCTTCTGACGGCCGTGAGCCCATGGGTGGGCAAGGTCATCCTGCCACACACTCCCCGGAGGCCTGCCGTGACACACAGTCGAGGTACTGCCCGGGGGCCCCTTCCCTTTGGGAGCCTCCCGTGGGGCCCAGGGGTAGAGTCGGTCGGGGAAGGGGGGCTGGAGGGGACCTGCAGGCATATGGAGGGCACAGGTCGCAGCTGCCCTGCCGGGGAGGGGCGAGGGGGACGGGGGAGGGGGCCGTCGGCCCAGTGTCGACCTGGGGCGGTGTTTGGTTTTGCCTCTCCCGTTCTGCTTAGCACCTGGTGGCCGGTTCAGGAAGTGACCAGACACTCAGGCCTAAGCGGGAGCATCTTCTCGGGATTCTGAGTGCGTCGGTGCCCGCGTGTGGGTCACATTGTCTGGGGGGGCGGGACTCTCGGGGCTCAGGAGCGTGTGCCAGCCTGCCAGCAAGGTCCTCACCCTTCTTTCTGGTTGAGCGCGGCGGCAGCTGGGTGTGGGTTCTCTGGGCCCCTCTGCACACGTGCCCTTGTCCCCTTCAGCTGACGGCATCAGGAGGCAGCTGCAGGGCGCCCACCTGGCCAGCACCCCCGTGTTCACCCTCTTCATTCAGGTAAGAAGCCGCTGACACACACCTTTGCTTTTCCTGTGCATGGCGTTTTTGGTGGAGCTTTGAAGTTTGTGGTGGATTCACTTCAAGTCCAGCTGTTTAAAGTTGTGGATCCTTAAAAATGGCTGTTCCGTGGCCTGTGCTTCTCAGCGTTCTACTCAGCGTGGAAGGGGCAGTCGTGGGGCGGTGTCCCTGCCGCTGTCAGCTAAACCCTGTGTGGGAGGGGCTGGGCGCTGAGGGGAAGAGGGGCCTGGCCGTCCCGAGGGGCTGGGTCAGGGCAGGAAGGCGGCGGCACTGAGGCGGCCTGGAGGACCCGGGTCCTGGCTGGGGCCTGAGCCACGTGGCCACAGCCTCGAGGGGCTGTGCGGGCCCAGCCCAGGCCTCTGGGGCGTTGGGTCTGCTCCACGAGAGCAGCTGTGGTCAGCGCTGGCCTGAGTCCCTCCACGGACGCCCTTATGGCCTTGGCCCTGCAGGGGGGCAGGGGGCCTCCTGCCACGTGGTGGTGTGTGTCCACGCCCCTCAGTTGTTCCAGATCGACACAGCTGGCTGCATGGAGGTCGTGCGGGAGAGGAAGGCCCGGCCGCCCACCCTGTTCCAGGCTGGTGCCCGGGACTCGCCACTCCTGCAGGTGAGGAGTGAGGGTGAGTGCCAGGCATGGGCTTCCCTGGTTCCCGCCACCCTTCCCTCCCGTCCCAGTGGCACAGCTAGCACGGGGCAGATGGCGCCTGTCCAGCCGGGGAGAGAGGCATTTCTGGGTCCCCGCAGGCCGGGGCCAGCCCGAGACGCTCCTGGGAGGCGTCCGCCCGTCCCCCGGGGGGGCCCAGGGCCCGGAGGGGCTTTGAGGCGAGTTCAGGGGCTGCAGGGCCTGCGCTGGTGCTCAGGCCCGCCTGGTTGCACAGCGTGTGCTCCTCCCGCCTGGCTGTACCTCCCCTGGGTGGAGCGTGGGGGCCACTGGGCGCCCGCCGCCCTGGGCACTGGCCCCGCTGTGGTGGCAGCCTGCTGCTGATGGCCAAATCCTTGAGTCTTGCAGCTGGGGGCTGTGTCCCTGAGCCCGGCCACCTCGGGAGGAAATGACAAAATAGTGCTCCTGGTCGGAGGACCAGATACGGTCCTGTGGTGGCCCATCCAGGCCACGGAGCCCTGTGCCCTCCTGCCTAGACAGCCAGGTCCCCTGCCTCTCCCTCCAAAGCCCACACAGCCCTGACCCCGCCGAGATGAGCTCTCCCAAGCGTGCCTTTGGGTGGAGTCATGTTGGGGGCGGGGCGACAGGCTAGTGGTGGTCTTGGTGGGGGTGGAGAAGTGGGTCTGGGCCGTTGGGGACTTTCCTGAAGCGCTGCCTCTGGTTTCTTTTCCAGGTACCCTCGAGTGCCCGGAACACCCCAGGTACTGCCCATCTGCCTCTCTTTATCTGGGTGGTTTGTGTTTAGTGGGGAAAGGGCCAGACCTGTTGCAGGTTTTGGATTTTGGTGCCTCGCAGTGGGTCCGTTTTTGTTTCTTTGTTGGTTTTTTTTTTTCAATTAATTAATTTATTATTTATTGTTTTGGCTGCATTGGGTCTTCGTTGCTGCGCGCGGCCTTTCTCTACTTGCGGTGAACGGGGGCTGCTCTTCCTTGCAGCGCGCAGGCTTCTCATCGTGGTGGCTTCTCTTGTTGCAGAGCATGGGCTCTAGGCGCGCGGGCTTCAGGAGTTGTGGCACGTGGGCTCAGTAGTTGTGGCTCGTGGGCTCCAGAGCGCAGGCTCAGTAGTTGTGGTGTATGGGCTTAGCTGCTCCGCGGCACGTGGGATCTTCCCGGACCAGGGCTCGAACCCGTGTCCCCTGCATTGGCAGGCGGATTCTTAACCTCTGCGCCACCAGGGACGTTCTGTGGTGGGTCCGTTTGAGTGCCACCTCAGGCAGGAGGCCTGGCTGGTGTGGCTGGTGGGGCAGCATCTGGTACGGGCCTCTCCTGCTTGTGGCCACCAGTCTGCCCACACTGGCAGAATCGGGCGAGGGTCTGGGGTCCTGAGAGGTGATGTGCAGGGAGGAGGGCAGTGTAGCCAGCAGTCCTTGTTTGGAAGGTGTTCAAGATGTAGGGCTGATGCGCAGGGCCATCGTGGGCTGGCCTTCCTCGCGGGCCCGCCCTGGTTGGGGCAGGAGCATGGGGGCTCGGGGTGCCGTGCAAGGGGAGGTCTGGGGACGTGCGGCCAGGCTGACGTGCCCCTCTCGGCCCAGATGCCAGGCCCAGCAGCTGCCCACTGTGAGGGCCCTTCCCCTGGGACGCGTCCTATCTCAGGAGCTCATCAGCCAGTGTCCTGTCCTCCCTGCAGGCTGCCTCCTCCAGAGCGTGCCGGCCCGAGGAGCTGCAAAGAAGAGCACCTGCCACACGGGGAGCGGAGGGCCGCAGGCCTGCCACGCGGAGTCCACGCCGCGGGCAGCCCCGCCGGCTCCGTCCGGACCCCGGCCCAAGCCCAAGACTGTGTCTCAGCTGCTTCGGGAGAAGCGGCTGCGGGAGGCCCGAGCCAGGAAGGCTGCCCAGGGCCGTGCGGTCCTCCTGCCCCAGGTGCTGGTCTCCTCTCCTGTGGTCTTCCAGCCGCTGGCCCCGCAAGGCCCCCCGGTCTCCAGGGCCGTGCTGTCTGGGCCAGGGGGCCCCGTAGCGGCCGCTTCAAGTGCGTTAGGCTCTTGGGGCTCAGCCGTGGAGGAGAGACCCCTGACGCTGCAAGCCTTTGCCCTCGCTCCAGCCTCCACAGGAGCCCTGAAGGCCCCGGCTGCCCCTGCTGCCTCCAGGGCCCCGGGTCTGGGCCCCGGCCAGGTCCCAGTGAGCTGCCGGCCAAGCAATCTCGGACAGTCTCAGGCCCCTGCCACGTCCCGGAAGCAGGGCGTGCCCGAGGCACCACCCTTTCTCACTGCAGCGCCCAGCCCTGTTCAGCTGCCTGTCCAGCCCCTCAGCCTGACACCAGCTTTGGGCACACACACGGCAGCCAGCACCCCTCTGCCTGTCACCTGGGTGCTCACACCCCAGGGGCTGCTCTCTGTGCCTGTGAAGGCGATGGTGGGCCTTCCGAGGCCAACAGGGACTCCTGAGCCCCAAGGGCTGTCGGTGACTCTGCTGCCCTCCCCAACTGCGACTCAGGCAGGCCAGGGCCCCAGGCTCCCTGGGCAGGGCCGCCCTTGGCAGCCCCCAACCAACACGGACACAGAATCAGACTCTGCCTCCAGGACAGAGCCCTTGACCCTTCCGGCGCACCCCACATCCCAGAGCCCTGCAGAGGTGGACATGGCCCATGGCCCTGGGGGATGCTCCCCTGGAGAGGCCCAAGTGGCTGGGGGGACGTGTGTACCCAGGACGTCCTCCCAGGCTACGCCCCTGGCTCACGACTCTGAAGCGGATCCCCCAGGGACCACCTCAGGGCCAGGGGAGCCCAGGAGGCCTTTGGGCCTGGAGGGGCCACCCCCGCCCTGGCCCAGGCCTGAGAAGAGTCCCCTGGACTTGTGCCTCCTCTCCCAGGAGGGCGAGGCAGCTGTGCGGGAGTGGCTGAGGGGGCAGCGGGGGGTGTGTGTGCCCCCACTGGGCAGCAGGCTGTCCTACCAGCCCCCCACGCTGTGCAGCCTGCGGGCACTGTCTGGCCTCCTGCTCCGCAAGAAGGCCTTGGAGCACAGAGCCGCCTCCCTGGTGCCCAGCGGGGCAGCCGGAGCCCTGCAGGCCTCGCTGGGGCGGGTGCGCAAGCAGCTCCGGGACAGCCCGGCCTACCTGCTGCTGCGGGTGCGCTTCCTGGCGGCCTTCGCCCTCCCTGCGCTCCTGGCCACCCTGTCCCCCCGCGGTGTGCCCACCACCCTGTCAGTAGCCATGAGGTCCAGCCCCGAGAGCGACAGTGATGACAGCAACCCGGGGCAGCCGGAGCTTGTGGCCGGGCAGCTGGCGGACCCAGCCAGCGGTCTGCAGGTGGCCGCCACGCCTGTTCAGGTAGGTGGCTGCAGGTATGGAGCCCTCGCCCCCTTCCCCACACCCGTCCGCATCCCCCCGGGGCGCCTCACCCCCTGTGGGTGTCGGCCCCCGCCTGGAGCACCGGGGGTGGGAGCAGGGGGAGGTCACGGCAGGGGGGCCGGCGGCTGGTTTCTGCGGAGGAAGAGGCCACTCCGTGTGCCCCACGCATGCGGACTCCAGCGGCAGGAACCTCACTGCCGGCATGGGGGTCCCGCCACCCAGGCCCTGTCCACAGGAGTCTCCGTGCCCCCCCGCGCGTGCACACACGCGCACACGCACACCCCTGGGGGGCTGTCTGCGCGCCTGCACTTTGTGGGGTCCGTCCAGTTGCCGACTCCAGCACGTCCACGTGCAGAGTTCTCTAAGCTGTGGAAGCAAAACCACCATAACTGTTTCCTGACAAGAAACCCGCCGCACACACGTGTGAAGGTGTCCCCTGACCCGTGCACCCGAGAAGCCCCTAGTCCCAGTTGCCTGGGCTGAGCAGGAGAGCCGGGTCGCCTCAGGACAGGGAGGGCCCCGAGGTCCCTGGCAGGTGGTGTCTGGCAAGCAGGTGGTGACCCCCCAGAGAATCCCCAGAAGTAGTCCCTCGCCTTCATGCAGGGTGGCCTCGCTGCTGGCCTGGTCGAGCCTGGGGCCACCCTTACACGTTGCCAGGGCCGGGGAGGCGGGGTTGTCGCTGAGCTGTGCCGGTCCCACCTGCCCGCGGCCCAGCCCGGCCCGGCCCCGCTCCTTCCCGGGAGCACGGCCTTAGGAGTCCGGGGGGCTTCTGGACTGAAGCAAAGGCAAAACACTGCTGGGCCCTAAATAGGTGTCGAGGGCACGAGGCTCGCTGTCCCCGGAGTGTGTGCAGCCTCCCGTGGTCCTCCGTCCCTGCACGGCCAGCCCAGTTTGGGGGAACCGTGGCATAGGTGGCTGGCTCTAGGGGGGCTGCTCAGAGGGGATTGGAGCCCCCGAGTGAGAGAGGGGTCAGCGGAAAGCCAGAGCCCGCGTGTGACCCCAGGAAGGCAGCACCTCCTGTCCCATCTCCGCAGGGACAAGTCCAAGGAGCTACCTGTCCCTTGCCGCCACCCCGTCCCCTGCCCATCCTGGCTGGAGAGTCACTCTTGTTCTCTGCCTGGACTTTGTTTCAGGGAACGCCACACCCCGGACAGGCCTCTGCCCTCTCCTGCCCGGACGGTCCTGATGAGCTTGACGTGCTCCAGACACGGCGCGCCCGGCATGCCCGGAAGCGGAGGAAGCTGGAGTGAGCGGCAGGGTGAGGGACCCGGGTCCTCCCTCAGCTTTGCGCTGGACACACGGGGCCTCAGGAGCTCATCTCAGCTTATCGGTATCAGGCGGAGTGGGGTGTGGTATATCCAGGCCACTGCGGGCCGGGTCTTGGAGGCCCTCCCCTCCCCGCCCCCCGCCACTGGGTTCCACACCCCAGCCTCTGCTGCTTCCCTCCTGCCCGCCCACGTGCGCCTTGGGGCCTTGGCACTTGCATCCTCTCTGCTTGGCGCTCTCCTCGTCTGTCTGCAAGGCTTGTCAGCTCTCTATCCGGGTCTCTGCTCGGTGGTCAGCTCCTCAGAGGCGCCCTCCCCAACCGTCCTAAGGTGGCATCGCTGTCCCAGTGCCCATCTGTCCTCGTGGCACTTGCCCTTCCCTGACACCTGACGTGGTCCATCCTCCCCGCCCCCCGCCACTGGGTTCCACACCCCAGCCTCTGCTGCTTCCCTCCTGCCAGCCCACGTGCGCCTTGGGGCCTTGGCACTTGCATCCTCTCTGCTTGGCGCTCTCCTCGTCTGTCTGCAAGGCTTGTCAGCTCTCTATCCGGGTCTCTGCTCGGTGGTCAGCTCCTCAGAGGCGCCCTCCCCAACCGTCCTAAGGTGGCATCGCTGTCCCAGTGCCCATCTGTCCTCGTGGCACTTGCCCTTCCCTGACACCTGACGTGGTCCATCCGTGTATCTGTCTGTTGTCTCCCCCGGAACGTGAGCCCGTAGGGCAAGCATAGGGTCCCCAGTGCCCAGACAGCAGGCACCAAATAGGCCCAGCATGGTCGGTTTTCACACGCCGAGACCCAGGTCGGGGGGGATGTCGCAGAGGCAGGAGCTGGGTCCTCCAGCACAGCGCGGGCTGCACTGTGGGAGGTTCTGGGTCCTGGGCTGGATGGCTAGAGCGGGAGCAGGAGCTCTGGGTGGGTGGGGGACCACAGAGGGGATGCCTGGGGTGGGCCTGCTTAGAGCCCACTCAGGCTCCAGGGCCAGTCCTCCGCACGGCCCGCTCCGTGGACCGCAGTGGGGCAGCAAGGCCTCACTCCACCCCGCCCTGCCCCACGAGGCAGAGTGCTGTCCCTCTGCGTTCCCATCCGTGGGGTCCGGCCGGGGTCAGGGCCCCTGCCATCAGGGTGATCTCGTGTTCCAGGACTTCCCAGGGCCAGACATCCACTGCTGCTGCCGACAGGAGGTGGAGCTCGTGCTGGACCCAGCGAGCCTGCCCACCCCGGGAGGCCAGCACCCAGCCCGCGGCAGAAGGGCTCTGCCAACAGTGGCCGCATCATGACGGGCTCGGCTAGTCCCCGAGTGCAAACCACAATATCGGGAGGAATGACGAAATGTCCTGTTTCTTAATTAAAAGCAAGCCACGCGCTTTTGGTGGTCTCGTCCTGAGGTACTGGGCGGTGTGCAGAGGGACTGGGCCACCCCTGGATGTGTGGGGAGTGCGCCAGCTGGGCCCTGGGGTTCACGGAGCCCCTGCACACTTGGCCTCTGGGGGCCTGTGGAGGGGGAGAAACAGAGGGTTACCCATCTCAAGAGAAACACTTGTGGCTTTGGCCATCAGGCTGGGGGGCTGCTCCAACCAGAGGGCGGCCCAGCGCCCACCCAGGTGCCACCACAGGCATGGGGCGGGCCCACTTCTGCCATCCAGACCACACAGGCCGACCCAGGCGGGTCCCCAGAAACCAGTGGCAGCCTGAGTACCCACAGTCCCCACGGCAGCCCCGGGCCAGTGCCCTTCTTATTCTGTGCAGGCGTTTCTTTGGCAGGAGACCGAATCCCCGCGGCCTCTCTGTCCCTCCTGCCTAAAGGAGCTCAGTTGTGGGGGTTCGGTTACACCTGCGAGACACTGGCTTTTCTGGAGCTTTGTTCTTGCGCGCTGCTCCCCTTTGCTTTCACCTTATTAGGGTAATTTTCCAACACAGAGAAATGGGACAAGTGTGCCCAGCGTGTGTCCTGCCCCCCCAGACAGCAGTCACTTGGGGTCACCTGTCTCCCCTTTGCCCGCACTCAGACACCGCACGTCACGTCACACAGCCACAGGCTGACTCGCCACTTGGGGGTGTGTGTGTTTCACTTTGTGCCTCTGGTACTGGACTCACCGATTCCCGTTTTCCTTGTGATTTCCTCTGACCTGTGGGTTATTTAAGATGATTGTTATTTCGTTCCCGGACACATAGTGATGTTCCAGGTCTCCTTCTGTTACCGATTTCTAGTTTGGTTCTGACGTGGTCAGAGAACGCAGCGTTGTTGTTATTTAATTCATAAACACACCATGAGGAAGACTCCTTCCTTAGCCTCATGTCATGAAACAGGAAACACTGGGACACGGAGGGCCCGGCACCGGCCCTCTGCCTGCCGGGTGCGCAGAACCGCAGCTCCCGCCACTCCTGTACCAGGACTTTCCCCTCAGACCCTCCAGGCCGGTTCAGGATCCCCCAGAACACGGCTCACCCAGGGGGCTGGGGGCCTGCCCACGCCTGGAGGGTCGTGCCTGGAGGGTGACCTCGGACCTCCTGGAGGCCTACGGGGAGGCCCGGCCACTCAGCAGCGCCTGGCGGTGCCAGGATTCCTGGGGTTTAGCCTACTGACCACCATGGGCCCAGAAGGCAGAGAAAAACCCTGGGGCTGAGGGGCTCAGGACCCTACAGGAAGGGAGCCAGCAGCGCTGGTCAGGCCCCTGCCCACCCAGCCGCAGCCCCTTCCCGGAGCTGTTGCTCAACCTGGCAGGTGGCAGCTCTCTCAGTTCAACCAGTGAGGCCACTCTGGTGGGGCGGTGGCCTGGGGATTCCCCTGGGGCCCTGCTGTCGCTGTCCCGTGTGTCCGGGTGGGGAGGGGCTGCTCTCAGGAAGGGAGAGGCTGAGCCAGCCGCAGCGCGGCCTGGGGGTTAGGCTTAGGGCCTGCAGCCACCCCCACGCCCAGCCCCATGCCCTCTTTGGACACCACGCTGCAGTCCTTATGGAACCAGAGTGGACTGGACGGTGGCTTGGCCTTGTCCAACCCTGGCAGAGCCACGGCTCGAGCTCCCACTCCGCAGGGTCGGGGCTGGGCCTCCAGGGCAGGCCCCGGGGCCCTGGCGCTGGGCTGGCCGGCGGGGAGACGGCGCGGGGGGCGGGGGGCGGGGTGGGCTCCAAGCAGGAGCCGCTTTCCTCGGGGAGCCGGCAGCTTCCACTTCCCTGTCCCCGCCTCCTGGGGCCGCTCTGCTTGGGCGAATCAGAAGGCAGCGCGGGGATGGTCCCTTTCGGGAGGACAGCCAGGCCTCTGTGGGGTTAAGCAGACCCATCAGGAAGTGCACGGCTTTCCTCCGGTCCCGCCCGCCCTCTGTCCCGGCAGCCCGGCAGTCCTGCCACTCACTGAATCGGGCGACCCAGGCTGACCGGTGTCCGGCTGCGCAGGTGCCCCAGGAGGGCCCCGAGGTAGGCCAGCCTGGTGCCCTTGCTTCAGAGGGTTGGGAAGCCGCTGTGGCCCAGCTCGGGCTTGGGGCAGGGAGCGGGGTCTGGAGCAAATACCCCAGGAGGGCATCAGGTGGCCTCGCTCTGCTGCCCTGTCCCCTTCACAGCCACCTGGTACCTGCTGGTCATCTCACTGGAATTAGCAGCAGGGCATTGTCAGGTGTGGGACGCGTGGACATCAGGCTAGGAAGGCGGGGACCGGGCCAGACACTCCAAAGACCCCAAGTTGCTGGTGTTTTCATTCAATGCTTCGTCTGTTGCTGGGTGGGCGGGCTGACAGGGCAGCGCGAACCTGCTGCCAGCCGTGTCTCTAGGAGGGTGGCCCGGTCCCTTTGGGCTGGAAACGGCTGTTTCCCACACGGGTCAGAGGCTCAGCCTGCGGCGGCGGGGCCAGGGTCTCCGTGCCCCCCGCTGGGAGGAGACCACCACGTGGCTGCTCCCGGCTCCGACGGCCTGGAGAGAGTGGCTCCCCCGCTGGTAGTGTAGCAGGGAATAGCGGCGGGTGGTTCCCGCGTAGATGGTCCCCTGTCGGAGAGCTGGCCTGACAGTCCCCAAGAGTGCGGCCGAGAGCAGGCCTCGCCTGGGAGGCAGACGGGAGGAGCCTGGACGGCTGGTGTCCCAGAGGCTGGAGGAGGCACGGAGCCGCGTTCCAGGCCAGCCTCGGGCGACACAGCCACCCCTCCCAGTGCGCCCGGGGCCCTGGCTCTCCCTCCACCATGGGCCGTCCACAGTCACCCTTCCTGGAGGGCACCCTGTCACCGAGCCTGACCCGGACTTGCATCACCAGCCGCCGGAAGGAGAGGAGGGGTCGGGAGTGGATGTGAGCAGGCACCGCCCCGCGGGGAAGGAGGCCGTCCCGCCAGCACAGCCTGGCGCCTCGGGGGGCTGGGGCTGGGATCCCTCCCCCGTGTGCCAGGGAGGTTGTGCTGGTAGGTGGCGCAAACAGCTCCGTGGGTAGGGGGCAGCCTCCCGCCAGCCCCGCAGCACTTTGGGGTGCTCTGAGGGGGACAGGGCCAAAGGAGGGCCGTGGTGCAGGGGAGCGTGTTCTCCTAGATGCCACCTGACCCTGGAGCATCTCCACGCTGTTCCCCACGCTTATTGGGGTGACCCAGGGAGAGAAAAAGCCCAGGGCGGCCAGAGGGGCGCGAGCAGGGCCGTGAAGGGCGACGCCGGGCCAGCCGATGGGAGGGAGCGGGGCCTTGCGGCCCCTCTCCTGGACGCCCCTGGGCTGGGTTCCTGGTCTGGCTCTGCCCAGAGCCCTGGCAGGCGAGGTGCAGGCCTGGCTCCCGGCAGTGCCTGCTGCTCAGCCACGGCATCCCTCCCAGCCGCCTGCCCCGACTAGGCCATGTCCGACTACGAGAACGAGGACGAGTGCTGGAGCGCCCTGGAGGCCTTCCGTGTGAAGCTCATCTCCATCATCGACCCCGCCCGCATCACGCCCTACCTGCGCCAGTGCAAGGTCCTGAACCCCGACGACGAAGAGCAGGTGCTCAGCGACCCCAGCCTGGTCATCCGCAAGCGGAAAGTGGGTCAGTGCCCATCCGCCACCCCCGTCCCCCGGGGGCCCCCTGCCCCGTCTGCCCGCAGCTGTGGGCAGCTTCACGCACAGCTGAGGCCCTGGCAGAGCTGTCCAGACCCCCGCCACCGCAGCCTCTTGGGGTTCTGCAGCCTTGCGTGCCCACACGTGTCCCCTGGGCCGCAGGTGTGCTCCTGGACATCCTGCAGCGGACTGGCCACAAGGGCTACGTGGCGTTCCTGGAGAGCCTGGAGCTCTACTACCCGCAGCTGTACAGGAAGGTCACGGGCAGAGAGCCCACCCGCGTCTTCTCCACGATCATCGGTGAGGAACAGGACACGGGCCTGGAGGCACAGGGCCCAGATGGAGGGGCGGGGAATGGTGTGGGTTACAGTCGGCGGCCCCCTTCCCGCCTGGTCCCCTCATGGATAAATCGCGTATGAAAGGAAGGGAGCGAGCTTTGGGCTCGGTCTGGGTGTCACTCCCATCCCCCTCTCCTTCTTTTTTTTTTTTTTTTTTC